GTCATGAGCCACTTATCCAGTGACGTACAGTCATTCCCTAGCATTGTACAACCCTTACTTCCAAATCTCATGCAAATTTCTCTGGACTCCGGTACCCGTGGGCTCTTGAGGTGGTTTCCTTGCCCGCGACCTTGACATGCCTGCCTGAAAATATTTCAGTGGCGATGCATATATGAAATTTAAGATCGAGTCGTCCTTGGGCAGAATGCGTAGTATTAAAATCTGCATCCTGCTTCATGTTTTCTTTTGCGTAGTTGTCATGAGATTTTCCGTAACAAGATCCGTTTCGCATATTTTACTTCTGATATGGAATGAATGTTGGACGCCGCTCAATCAGACGTGAGTGGAGAAAGATACATTGTGAAATTAATGGACAAATTTTAAAATCGAACTATTTTAATAGTGAAAGTAACTTACAGAACTTATTTGTGAATCTTATCGTGTTACATTCATTGTGTCATTGACTATGAAATAAATTTAAAATGCCGACAATCAAATGTTCGTAAAATGTCTGGATGGAGTGAAGACTTCTATTTTATCAAATGTTACTAATGTGCGCAGATAATTCTTCTCCCCCTTACGTCAGTTTTTTTAAACTGTTCTTTGACTAAATAAATCAAATCAAATCCAAATCAAAGAAAAGTCTGAATCAAGAGTTCAATCGTGGTCCCTACTCAAAACTGCCCCGTTTCAACGAAAACACATCTCGACGTAGCGAGAAGGCGCTCTTAGCCGTGCTCGGTACGTGTTGTTGCAGTCGCCACAATAGTTCGTACTCGCACCGTTTGACGACGTAGCCACGTCGCGTCGCGCCGTCTGCGCTCGCCGCCGCTGCGCGCTGGGTGTACGGGGTCTCCATACGTTTACGACCACGACGCAGCCATGAATGAGCGCGGCGCCAGGCCCGGCCCGCGCCGTGTCGCCGGGGCACGTACTCCGCGCGCTCGGAATGGCTGCGCACGGCGCGTGGCGGATGGGGGTCTACCGGCCTCAACGCCGATTCAGGCCGGGGCAAGATTTCGATGCGCTGTTGGGCCTGCCTGGTGCACATAGTAGATTGATCTAAAGAACAAAGTATGTATTCGCATGCCGTATGTAGACGTAACGGCCGATTAACTCTTCAAAGGTGTTCTGTTGTTCATTGCTGAAACGGTACTTGCGTCTATTACTGCATCATCTAAAGAAGTGGCTCTTTCTTATTACTCGAGTTGTGATTTAAGTTATGTTTTGAGGACTTTTTCTCAATAGAAACAATCGACAGAACCTAATTTAGAGGTCCAGAATAGTCATATAATAGTCATCCTACCCAGTAACTTTTAATTCAGATAAACAAGGACATCAAACAATCTATTTAAACATGCATCAGACATTTGCTATTGAAATTCCATACTTCGTCTCTGACTAGTACTAGTAAACTCGTAATACGAGCATAAAGGAGATTCAAACACACTCGACGCTTCAGAACGCAGCAACACTCAGAGATGAACCATGCCCTTTAATCATTGTACCCGGTCCTATAAATACGGTACTCTTCCTCGGAGTGAAATGTCGTTCGCCACGAGGTCTCGTTTACAAGCCAGAAAATTGTGCAATCCGTTTTCAATCTGAAGCGGACTTCGACATCTGTAAAAACTTAAATTTCGCCAGTATACATGTGCTGTAATCTTCTCCAGAAGCACGTTTTAAGTGGCTGAGTTACGCGGTCTAGTTTATCGGCGCTGCCCGAGAAAATTCGCGCGCGACGATGGAGACCGTGGCGCGCGCACACACACACACAGCCGCCCGCGCCCCCGATGCCCACCCGCCTGCATCCGACCACATCGCATCTTGTAGGGCAGCCCAACTAGCCCGCCGCTCGTCGCCAGGACAGATGTGACATCGATGTCGATGTTTTGAAATCATCATCGACTAGGCCGAATGGCCTGTTCGTCGCCAAGAAGGTACTTTCTCCATCTTATTTGGAGATTTGAAGAACTCGATGGCTGTAACACAATTTTTTTGGCCAATGCATTTAGCATCGATTCTTCTTGTGTTCGATGTTTTTGTGGTTAATACTTTATTTTTTAATGAAAAAAAAGTACCATCACAATAAAAAAAACTGAAAGGATTTTCCAATATTCATAAATTGAACATTTTCGGGCCGTTGTGATAAATAGGAAGAATAATCAAAATCGAGTTTTCCTTTTTGATAAATTACGTTTATACAATTTTTAAATTATCTAATTCAATGATAAATGTTTTGTTACGTATTCCAGTTATTTTTAGTTGTTTTATCAATTAATCCGCAAATAAAAATTAGTAAAACCTTTAAACAAAATTCTCCCACGTTGCCAGAGCAGTTTTAATATCTCACCAATGCGGTTTTAAAAATCTACGAAAATCTCGATAATTTCGAAACGGTTTTATTGACATCTTCAAAATTAAAACAGTAATGTTCAGAAACATCGATGTTTTTGTTGGCGATGTCGCATTCTTAGCAAGGGCTCGGGCATTCCGAGATGCACGGAAGCTCCGCGCTAGATTAACCCAGCCGAGGGCTTGTAGGACGGTGAGAATTTCGAGTGGCTGCTTTCGGGAGACGGAGTTCGTTATTTCAGTGTGTTACAACCGCGTGTGTTTTGTTGTTTTCCATTGCGCTCAATCAAAGGGAGCCTTAGGGCCATGCGCCTTGCCGAAGCGAATCTCTTTGTTGTAATTTTACTCAATTTATTCAATACAATGACTACTTATCGATCACATACCATCTAAAGTAAGCGTCCCTTTTGTAAACGTACATTTTTTTAAATCTCAAGTTAGCAATTACAAAAAAACCATTAATATATGGTAGAGGGAGAAAGACGAACTGAAATCTCCCCCGCAAAAACTTTCTGTATTCGTACTCGCTGGTGCAGGCCATTTAGGAACACGCGGTTACATTAGTAATACAGGAACATGCGGTTTCAAAACTGTGTGAAACTTTACTGAATTTTTACATTTCGTTGTCTTAAATATATAAGGCAGTTTGACATTTATTTTTGCTCAAACATAATTTTGTTCTGAGTACAGTTTTCGAAATGATATTTGATAACTAGACTGGACGTAACACAAGTTTTTTTTATATATTCCTGTTAATATTTGGCTGGAAGCTATTCTGCCGAGGATCCTCAGAAAACCTAGGAAGGTTTTCAAAAAGTAAATTTTTTGTAACGTGCTCCGTCCAGCGAATGGGTGGGGTGGGGTGGGGAGGCTGGATTCATTTAGGAAAGCTCTACAACGGTATCGCTCTCGGTTCATTCATATACGCGTGTGAGCGAGTGCGAGCTTTCCTTCTTGGGAATAGGGACAGAAATGTGAATGGGTAGCGGTGCGCCGCCGCCGCCGCCGCCGAGGGAGGCGGCCTGTGTGGGCTCCTTGCGCCAGCGCGTGGAGCGTGGGCGGCGAGAGTACAGTGCGAGCGGTGTGGCGCGGCGCGGTCGAGAGCCCTGGGCGCGGGAAGGGGGAGCGAAGCAGACTCTGACGTCACTCCCGTGACGTAAGTCGTAGTTTGCCCGGTGGGCGGCGGCGGCGGCGGCGGCAGCGTGCGTGCGTGGGAGTAAGCCTGCGGCTGCGGCGGCGGAGCAGCGGCGAGGTGGGGAAGCAGAGATGCACGTTCCGATCGATGGATGCGCGTCAGAGGGGGGAGAATCGGCATTGACGCTAGCGCGGAGGCGGCGCTTGTGAATTCGGCCGGGAGCGGGGGTGGGATGGGGTGGAGTGGGACGGCGCGGCAGGGCGGCGCTGCTGGCGGTGTGGGTGTGGCAGGGAGGAAGGGCAGCTGTTCGGGGCTTTTGCACGTGCGTGAACAGCGCGGGAAAGGGCAGATGGGGAATGGGATGGTGTTGGAAATGCCGCGTCAGAGTAGGGCCTATTTCTGTAAGCATCCGTAAAACAGAAAAGCGAGACCTTGAATTCCGATGTTTTTTTGGGGGGGGGAAATAAGAGAGGTATCCGGCTAGGTGTAGTAAAAGTCAATTTCATGAATTCCGATTCTGAAAAAAATTCTTGAAAATAAATGTACAAAAATCGTCATTAAATTTTGTAATTTCGAAAAAAATATGGAATATTAAATTTCGTAGAAAAGCAGTTGACGAAAGACCTTATCTGAGGCAGATGAAATCCGAAATCCAATAATTAAGTCGGTTTCTCGATAGCTGCCGTCATGTAAAACGATTCCAATGGCATGTCTCTCTTCCCCACTCCAATGTGTGTATTTGTTTGTTGTTTTTTTTTCTTTTTTTTTCAGTAAACTAGAGATCTTTTATCGTTACCTATTCTGTGATGAAAGCCGAAAGACCTGAGTCTTCAGTGGCGGATTCAAGGAACGGCATGCGTCAAGTTATATAATGCGATTACTTCTTTCGAATGTGATGCGATCTGAGATATAATTTTGTCTGATTATGT